AGAAGCTTAGGGAGCACACCAGAGCACAGAAACAATGGGGAGAATACCTATGGGCTCATAAAGGCTTACTATGCGAACAAAGGGAACCTAGGCATTTCCTTACAAATCACTCCATGCAAAATGTCCCTCTCTCAATGGCTAGTATCTGATCAGCGAGGGGAGGGCTGTTCAGTAGGACCCAGCATGGGAAAGGGCAATGTGGCTCATCTGGAGGCATGTATCATTGGGGCTTTTGTCAGTGCTGCTTAATTGACCAATCACCACAGGTTACCCCATAAGGGCAGTGGGGAGGGGATTCAGAGAAGAAACCTTTGAGGTTTATAAGGATTCTGGCTGTGGAAATGTACAGGACAGCATTCCTCTGATGAGCAAACTCCCGGGGAATAGCAGGAACCCTGTTTTCCACACTTGGAATATTCTGCAGTTTCCCCCAGGAACTAGTAACATAATGGATACATGTGCAATGCCTAGCTGCTCTGGCAATGCCCTGCATGAGGAGGCGACTTTGATCTCAAGCACTCAGCTCCTGGGAATAAAGGAACTCTCTTGTTAGACAACCACAATGTTTCACCAAGCTCTGCTGTTCCTGAACCTGTCCACATAACAGTAACTTTAAACAATGGACTTTCTTGAGAGCTACACAAAGCTCCTAATATTTCACATTGCACCTATAGTATGTAGCTGAGGAATAAGCTGCATGATGTTGCTAACTCTGTATCCTGCCTAATGACACTTGAACAATAATGTACTATTGATGCCAGTGACCTAATGTAACCTATTGATGATATAAATAAGGCTGGCAGCTTGGACAAGGGTTTTCTGCCTTTCTGCCATTCTGATATTCTGCCACTTTGCATCTGCACCTTGCTTCTATCTTCTTTTGATTTTCTTACAGAGGTTCATTAGGTTGTGGCCCCGGCCAGAACCTTGCAATCATTCCAACCCTTTGTCTATCTCCATACATCCAAAGGCAGACCAGGATTAGAAACACTGTGTACTCACACCAGACATGTTCTGAGTCTGGATAGGATAGTGGAAAACAGCTTTGGCAGAACCCAACATGCCTATCCTGCAGGACAGATGAATCAGAACTGCCTAGGCCTTGAATCCTGTCACCCAAGTCTTATAGAATGGTGGCTTGCACTAACTGCATTTAATTAGCCAATGGATGCCCGTTATTGTTCTCCAGAAAGAAAGAGACAGAAAGACATACCTCAGAAAGATGTGAGGTGCATGCAAAGGAGCTTACCTCAGTGATAATCTTGGTGGGACCTCCAAATATGAGACCAGCGATGAGAATCAGGGCTGAGTCCCATTCCCCCCATGTGAAATTGTACAGCCAAGGCAAGTGTAGTAAGCAAGTTTTATTTAAAGGATAAAACAGAGATAGATTTCTCTGAAGAGAAGGGACCCCAGCAGGGTGTCCAAAGAAATGTGCGTGTCCTATCCCTTTGATAGATTTTAGGTTTTCTTTCTTCTCTTGACCACTCCCATACTGCCTACATGACTAGTGACCAAAAAGTAGGCCACAGTGTGGAGTGATCCAAGGGCAGAACGAAACCACCCAGGGATACAGGCAGAAAGGGAGCCACCGAGGGAGCATTCATTAACAGTTCCTACAACTCCACGCAGGGAGAAACAACTCCCTGGAAGCAGGTAACCTTGGCAACAGGTTGAGAGAGGAGGGGGAAGGGCTTAGGAAATATTAGCATTTTTATTTCCTTTCCTTTTGAACCAGCCCCCATCTCCCCAATCTGACCCCATTATTCATTACTTACACTGACTGTCCTTTTGTCCTGCCCTGGCCCCACCATCACAACCAATATATAGTGCTTCCCCTATTTCTCAGAGAAAATGGAAACCATCAGATGGGAACTCCTTCCACATCCTGCCACTAAGCACGCAGATTGTACCTGCACCCACACATATCCTTCCCTTCTGCAGTTAAAGGGGCCAGTATGTGTAAGGCAAAATGCTTCTAGAAAGTCTTTCCTGTCCACCCACTTGTGTTCCCACCTATGTGTCCTGTCTGTCTCTTTTGTAGTCATGATTACAAGGAAAGAACTGAATGAAGAAAATAAAGAAAGGGGAGGCAGCTCAACAGTAGCAGATTTATTGGAGACAAATCTGCGGAGGAGGGCCCCATGGAGACTGTGACCCATCTTCCACTTACAGCCTAGGGAAATTATCAGGAGTAAGGGAAAGGGGAATTTTTGCAATTAGGTGGTTGCTAGGGGGTTGTCAGGGAAGGGGATCCTGGTGGTGTCGCCTACATATGTCAAACCTTTTTTTTTTTAAAGAGAGAGAGAGAGAGAGAGAGAGAGAGAGAATTTTTTAATATTTATTTTTTAGTTTTCGGCGGACACAACATCTTTGTTTGTATGTGGTGCTGAGGATCGAACCCGGGCTGCACGCATGCCAGGCGAGCGCACTACACTTGAGCCACATCCCCAGCCCAAACCGGGTATTTTTAAGAACTTCAGTCCCAGATAACCATTTCCTTTCTTTGCATGATGATGAAATATTGTCCAGAGTTTAGGTCAGGCAGAGTCAGAGTGACCATGAGGTGACTCTTGTTCATGAGGTATATGTTTCAAAATGGTGCTGCCAGTGTCAAGTTCTTCCTAACAATTATCACATTGAATTGCAATTACCAATATATATCTCTTTTACCCTTAGATGGAAGTTCCTTAAAGGCTGAACTGTGTCTGTCTTGTTCATTGTTGAATCTTCAAAGTTGGATTAGCATAGATATTTAAATAGCATTGTTAAATCAACTGACAAATTTTAGGGATGTAACAAAATAATGGAAAACATTTATAATCCGGAGACACTCTCCTCTCCACCTAACCCCAACCCTGTCTTTCTATGTCTCTTACAGCAACTATTCAGAGGCCATTTGAAAGGGAAAGATTATTCCCATGTCATAGCATCTCAGAATCCCTGAGCTGGAAGAACCTCAGTCATACTTAAAACCTCTCACCAAGCGCTGTCTCCACCACAGCCTCCCCAGAGCTGTTTATCCATCCTGGCCTGGGCACTTGCAAAGATTATCACTTTATGGTTATGCATTCAGTTGCATGTTACAGGAGCCTCAACTAAGAGAATCAAACAAATGGAGGTTATTTCTTTGGTAAATCAAGAGCTCCAAGTAGGCAATTCAATGTGATTCATTGTCGATTCAGTCAACTCTAGTTCAGTTGCTCCATGATGCCTTTAAGACCCAAGTTCATCTTTCTGTTCTGTAAGTCTAAACATTCTGCCATTTGTTTCATTCTTTTTTTTTTTTCCCCCACTTCGTACCAGGGATTGAATCCAGAGGCACTTAAACAGTTTCCCCAGCCCTTTTAATAGTTTTATTTTGAGATTGATCTTGCCAAATTGCTTAGGGCTTCGCTAAGTTGCTAACACTGGCTTTGATTCTCCTATCTCAGCCTCCCTAGCCACCTGGATTACAGGGTTGTTGCCAGGCTCAGTTTTGTTTCATTCCTATGCATAATGCCTCATGGTTATACAATGGTTGCTGCGACCCTAAATGTTACTTCCTGTCTTTGACAGGGGAAAGAGGAGAATAAGCAAGCTCTCCTTTTCTGCCTGTCCCCTTGATGTTTTTTCCCCCAGTACTGGGAATTTAACCCAGGGGTGCTTTATCACTGAGTCACATCCTTAGCCTCCACTTTTTAAAATTTTTAAAAATTTCTTTTTAATTTTTAATCAATCAATTGATTAATTAAAAAAATTTTTTTTGAGACAGGGTCTCACTAAGTTGTTTAGGGCCTCAGCTGCTAAGGCTGGCTTTGAACTTGAGGTCCTCCTGCCTTAACCTCCCAAGCCACTGGGATTACAGGTATGTACTACAATGCCCAGCTATACCCTTTTCTTCTATTTTAACTGTTTTTTTCTTTTAGTTTTAGATGGACAGAGTACCTTTATTTTATTTATTTATTTTTATGGGGTGCTGAGGATTGAACCCAGTGCCCCACATATGCTAGGCAAGCACTCTGCCTTTGAGCTACAGCCCCAGCCTTCCCCTTTACTTTTATAAGAAAGCAAAATTTCAGAATATTTCTATAGTCCTTCAGCATATTTAATAGTTCTTCAGTATATTTCTATATTTCTTTATAGTATATTTAACTGTTCAGAACTATATTACTGTTTACTAGGTCAAGAGAGACTGGGAAAGCAAGATTTAATTTTTCCAGTCTCTGTAGTGGAAGGGGACAGGGAGTGGTTAGGGATGGCTATTGAATCTGCACTCACTGTCTCTTTTAAAGCAGATTCTGTGCCACATTGCAAAGGTGAATCAGGAACTTGGTGAGGCCAAGGGTGTAACCAGCCCCAGATTGCAGTTAGGCATTTTTCATGTGTCCAATGGAGTCGACTTTTCACATCTTCACATAGGAGATAGGAAAGAAAAAAAAAAAACTCTACCCCTCAACTCTGTCCTATTTGGTCAGCGCTCCAACAACCTGTACTGTACCTTACTTTTGCCAACTCTGAGAGGGAACAGAGATGCCACACTCATTTTCTTGGTTGATGAGACTTCTCAGGGGATCTCTCTTAATATCCACCCACATGTTGGTGGAAAGAACAGTGCAGTGGGACCCAGGAGATCAGGGTTCTCGCTTCAGCTCTACCACATCCAAGCTGTGTGCACCCAGGCTGTCCCTTGTCTTCCCTCAGAGTCCTTATCTATAAAATAGGCGGTCAGAGGAGATAACCTCCAAGGTCCCTGGCAGCTCTGCTATCCTGGTTTCTCTGATTCTTCCCCAGAGCTTGGAGTCCCCAGGAGATATGAAAATGACCTCTTTTTGGGTGAGTAAACCCAAGCAGCTGGGACACCTGTGCTACTACTGCCTTAGTGCCACATGTTCACCTCATCCAGGTGTCAATTGGCTCCTCCCTTGGAACGCAGAAGCCAGGTGAGCTTATTGAGGTGGTTATTAAAAGCCTGGGCCTTGATCCTTGAAACACTTTTGTCTCTGCTCAAGCCTGCAGCCATGTGGTGGGTCCTTCTCCTCTTGCTGTGGCTGAGCCCTGTGGCCCCAAACCAAAAGACAGGTGAGAAGCCAGGCTGGCACTTGTGCTAGAGGCTAAAGGGACCCTGGCCTCTGATTTCTTTCTTTCTTTCATTTATTCATTCAATCAACTAATCTTTTTTCTGGCATGATCCACCACATCTGGAGGGCTAGCATTCATCAATTCATTAATTGAATAATTCATTTATTCAGACAGTTACTAAGTACTTATGGTGTGTTTGATGTGGCTTCTCTGTGTTTCCTTCATGTCCACAAGATATCTTTGGGTAATTGGCTTGGGAGAGACTGGTTGGGAAGATATGTTGGGTCCAGAGAATGTTCTGGCGTGGACAGGCAGCACGGAGCTCTAGAATACACACTGCCTGGGGGTTGCAGGGACAGCAGGGAAGGTGAGTGGACAAGCCCAGATCCAGGTTAATAGCAGACTCGCTGGGTAACTGCCAAGCACAATCCACTAGGTTTGCTAAAATGTCCCTGGAAATTCAATGGGAAATTCAATAAGATTATATTTACCAGAACTTTTGGGGGGAGAAAACTCAGTCATTGGTAGGAATTCTTCCTGTGGAAGTGGGAATTCAAGGGGAAGTAACAACAACAAAAGAAAAAGCTGGTGAGGAAGGGAAGGGTTTCAGTTTTGCTGAGTGGGGTTTGCAAGCTTGAGGCTGAAGCAGGATAGCAGGGACCAAGGAGGATGGGAAGAGCTGCCGGGTGCCGTTCTTTGCCCTTCTCTAGAACATTGTCAAACATATGTAAAGAGTATTGCTCTGGAGGGAAGTCAAACTATTAGGGGCGCCTTGGATTCTTCTTGTGGGGCCTGTTCCTGACCCCTCCCCCTTTCTATTACCCTGTATTTCTGAAGTCAGTGTTCGGTAACTACTGTGGCTTCAATGTGTCCCCCCAAAGTTCAGGTGTTAGAAACTCAACTCCAGTGTAACAGTATTGGGAGGTTGGACCCTTGAGAGGTTGACTGGGACACAGGGGCTCTGCTCATGAATGGATGAATGTCATCATCATCAAAGTGGGTTACTTATTGAGGGAGTGGGCTTGTTATAAAAAGGAATTTGGCCCCTTCTTGTTTGCTTCCTCTGTCATGTATGTCCCTTCTCACCCAGTGATGTCCCTTCTGCCGTGTTATGATGCAGTCAGTCATGGTGCATCATAGGCCTTCACCAGCTGCAGCCCCTCAATCTTGGTTATTCCCATAACAGTGAGCCAAATATGCTTCTATTGTTTATAGTTTACCCAGTCTGCAGTATTCTGTTATGGCCGCAGCAAATAAACTAAACTGTCTTAAGGGGCCACTTGAGATATTGCCTCACCAGGAAGTTGTTTCTGGTGACCTCACTTTCCCTTCATGAAAACTCTGGTGCTCTCTCTTCCCTTCACACAGCACCATCTGCAATGATGATGTTCTCCTCACTACACCAACATGGATGATGTTTGTTTGGGTGGTGGGAGTTTGGGACATGGTACCTCCATGGCCCACAATGGTACCCAGCTCAGAGAGATACTTGGTAGCATAAAATGCATGAAGTAATGGGTCCTTGGTTACAGTGGGTGTGAATGGCTTTTCTTGAATATGCTGTCATTTTCTGAAGGTACCAGTCAGGACTGTTAAAAACTGTAACTCTCTCCTGGCCCTTGGGCAATGTGCTCATACTTACACCCCCACATTGCCCATGGATGAGGAGAGAGTTACAGTTTTTAACAGTCCTGAGTGGTACCTTCAGAAAATGACAGCATATTCAAAGAAAGCCATTTAATTTGATTAAATGAAACTTATTTGGCCTTGGAAATGCATTTCTTTCCTTTGGAGTACTGGTGGGCATGACAGACACATGAAAGCTGTACCAATAGAGGAGCAGAGATGAATGTTAGGTTGGAAATTAAAATCAACATTTTTTTTTAGATTTTTTTAAAAGATGGACACAATATCTTTATTTATTTTATTTATTTTTACGTGATGCTGAGGATCAAACCCAGTGTCTCACATGTGCGAGGCAAGCGTTCTACCCTGAGCTATAACCCCAGCCTCTAAAATCAATATATTTTAAGGTTGAAAAAAAGATTAATCCCACCTGGAAAGATGTACGAAGTTCTCTCAGAATAGACTTAATTTATTTTTTTTTTAAGGCTACTTAACAATGGGAAATTTTGGTGGGAGTACTGGGGATTGAACTTAAGGTTTTTCACATGCTAAGCAAGCACTTTACTGACCTATGTCCCTAGCCATTTTAAAAATGTTTTCATTTTTAGATGAGGTCTTGCTATTGACCAGTCTGGCCTCAAATTTGCAATCTTCCTGCCTCAGCCTCCTGAGTAGCTGGGATCATAGGTATGCTCCACTGTGCCTGCCTTATCATGGAAAATTTCAAGCATACACAAAAGTAGAGAGAACAGTATCATGAGCCCAATGTACCTGTTGGCCAGCTTCAAAATATCAACATTTTACTCAAGCTCTAACAATATTTAAAAACTTAATCAGAGGTAAAAATGATTAAAATGCCTACTATGATTCAATACCTATTAGTGTTAATATTTTCCCACTTAATCAAAATGCCTTTTTGCCAGGTATGATGGTATATACCTGTAATTCCAGGGACTCAGGAAGCTAAGGTAGGAGAATCACAAGTTTGAAGCCAGCCTGAGCAATTTAGTTGAGGCCCTTGGCAACTTAATGAGACCCTGTCTCAAAATAAAAAATAAAAAGGGCTGAGGATGGATCTCACTGATAAAGTATCCTTGAGTTCAATTCCCAGTACCCACTTCCTAAAAAAAAGCTTTTTTACAGTTATTTTATTTTGAATCGGGATCCATACAAGAAGTATACACACACTTTTAACTGGCATATTTTTAATTATATATATCAGTCTAATTCTTTTTAGGCCATGTATTTGTTGAACAAAGGAGGTGATTTGTCCTGTAGCATATCCTACATTCTTCATTTGGCTGATTGAATTTTTTATGAATGCCCTTATATTTCCTATATTTCTGGTAGTTGGGGTCAGATCAGAATCAGATCACGTCTTTTTAAAATTATTTTATTATTTATTTATTTATTTTTTATTAGTTATACATGACAGTACAATGATCTTAACATTTCATACATTTGAATCAAATGCCAGATCACTTCTTTTAGAACAAATTCTACTCAGATGGGACTGTGAACTTCTTCTTAAACATTTTTTTGGGGAGAATGGGTACTGGGGATTGAACTCAGGGGCTCTGTACCACTGAGCCCTTTTTATTTTTTATTTTGAGACAGGGTCTCGTTAATTGCTGAGTCTGATCTTAAACTTGCAATCTTCCTGCCTCAGCCTCCAGGATCTCTGGAATTACAGATGTGTGCCACTGTACCCAGCTCCTATTACATCTTGAAGGAGACACACAATGTCTAGTTGTTCCATTTTTTACTGGTGTTAAACTTGATCATCTGGAGAGGAAGTAAATTATTAAAGTTCCTAATTAGCTTTTTTTCTAATAGATTTAGGTTCCATTGATGATTATTACTTAGGACCATTTTTTTCCTATTGAGGGTGGCCAAGTGATGGTTTTCCAAAATTTTATCATTCTTTCTGCATTTATTAGCTGGAATTTTTCTATTGAGGGAAACTTGCTCCTGTCAACTATTTGTTTTATATAGAAAAGCTGGATAAATGTTTGGTTTTTTTTTTCTTCTTTTTAAAAGGGAGGAAATGTTTACTTTGGCTCCATAGTTCTGAGCCCCAGGTGAGACAGAACAACAAGGTGAAGGAAAGCAACTTAGGATATGGTAATTCAGGAAAGAAAGCAAATGTTCAGTAGCAGCCCAGGGGAGGCTGGGTTTAATTTGACCTTGAAGTATAAGAATGTTTTCTTTATTGGTTTTGGGAAGGAAGAGACTTCCAATCAAAGGAAACAGCTTAAGCCAAGGCCCAGAGGCAGGAGCATGCAGGGTGTTTAGACAATAGTAGAGACAATAGTAGAGTTGAGTGGTATGTGCAATAAGGGGCCTTTTGAATAAAACTCCTACGCAAAGGAAAGGAGTCAGGATTGGGGGAGCATAATCTCCCAGATCTGTTACCACCTCAAGCATGACCTTGAGCATGACTCTTCCTTCGTCTATAAAATGAGCGAACCTTTGTAGGTCCATGGCTTTCAAACTTTTCTAGTCCAAATCCATCGATAAACACATTTTATGCTGTGACCCAGTACATAAGTACATGTAGATAAAGCAAACAAAAATTTCAAAGAGAACTCTAAAGAACTTCCTCTTATTATATAAAATGTATGTGGATCTGTTCTATTTGATTCCATTCCATCCCATCCCATCCCCTCTCTTCTTGTTAAAATGAATGTTGTTTGTGACCACTGAATTGCTCTTTGACTTACAAATGGGCAACAACCCTAGTTTGGGACTTGATATCTCTACTGATCCTTGGTCTTGGTGACAACCTGGTGCTAGACCAGGCACTGAGGAATAGGGAAGTCATAAGAAAGGGGAAGAGATCATTTGTGGAAGTTTCTGAGCTGAACATAAAAGTAGAAGCTAAGCCAAACCCAGAAGCCACCACTCCAGCCCAGCCCACTCTCACCTTGAGAGGTCTTGGGCCACTGCTGCCCTTTCACCAGATGCCTGCTGGTCCCTGTTTCCACAACAGACTGAGTCAGTCACACCCAGAAACCTGCTTCTTATTTATTCGGTCAACTTTGAAAAGTCCTCAAGTTTATCCTTAAACAAAGCCCTAGGCAGGTGCTAACCTAACTGGAAGTGATTGGAAAGGTCATGGCAGAAGTAGAGAGAGGATAGCATTGAAAGTCCTAGGGGTGAGGACACCCAAGGCAGTTCCCACCCAAGCCAAAGATTCACCACCTAATTGGTCCATGGTCCCTACCTGCTAATGCCTTGCATTCCATGTCTCAAAGAAGATGCATCCTCTCATTTTGTAGTGGATGAGTAATGACCAGACAATCGTTGAGTTGAGCAACTTGGGTAAATTGTTGGAGGGATGGATTTGGCAAAATTTTTGTGAGTAGGAATCATAAAGATCTTCTTTTAATTTTTTTATTTTTTTAGTCATCTATAATAATAGGATTCATTTTCACATAATTATGAAAGCTTGGAATATAATCTGTTCTAATTCAGTCCCCAGTACTTCCCCTTTCTTTCCACTCCTCCTTCTTCTTGTTCCCTTTCCTCTATTGCTCTTTCTACTATTTACTTATTTAGGTTTGTTTTTAATTAGTAGGATGTACAGTCAGGTCCATGATCCATTTTGAGTTAATTTTGGTATATGGTGCAAAGTAGGGGTCCAAAGTTATTCTTTTGTGTGCACAAATCCAGTTGTCCCATAACCATTTGTTAAACCTGTTTTTCTGCTTTTTCTTTTGTGGTAATGAGGATCTATCCCAGGAGTAGTATACTTTAGAGTTATATCACTAATCCTTTCTAAAAAAATTTTTTGGGGGTACCAGGGATTGAACTCAGGGGCACTCGGCCACTGAGCCACACCCCCAGTCCTATTTTGAGTTTTATTTAGAGACAGGGTCTCACTGTGTTACTTAGCACTTGCTGTTGCTGAGGCTGGCTCTGAATTTGCGATCCTCCTGTCTCAGCCTCCTGAGCCGCGGGGATTACTGGCATGCGCCACTGTGACTGGCCTCTTTCTAAAATTTTTGAGACAGTATCTCACTAAATTGCCCAGATTAGTCTTAAGCTTGTAAGCCTCCTGCCTCGGCCTTCAGCTACAAACCTGTCTGTTTTTAACTTCCCTTTTTCTCCAGGCAGTTGTTCCCAGCCCCAGCCTCTCTGCTGCCTTGGAACAGATAACAACTGCAAGAGGGGAAGCTGCTACTGTGATGAATTCTGCCACATGGTACCAGACTGCTGCCCAGATCACAGTGCCCTCTGCAAACCAGGTTACTCTCATGCAGGTTCATTTCCCCCCATGGCAGAGCTAGATGTGTGATTGATGAGGCAAGTCCCTAGTCTGTATCTTTAGGCATGGCCAGGTTGTGAACTGGACCTTGACAATCTTAAGATTCTTGCAGTCTATCCATTTCATTCCAAGGATGCCTACATGTTCCTCCCAACTTTGTCTTCCCAATGTTCCTTATCACCAGCTGCTCACCTCTGAGCCTCTTTTCCAAGTTGTACATGGAAAGGTTAAGCTGCTGGTGGTGGGGATCAGGGTGGGGAGTGAGGTAGTTGGGTTCCACTTAACTTCCTCACCTTCTCTTGCATGCCTCTCAGCCTCTCCCACGTAGACTTTTTTCCCCCCAATATTTTTTTAGTTGTCAATGGACCTTTAATTTATTAAGTTATTTATATGTGGTGCTGAGAATTGAACCCTGTGCCTCACACATGCTAGGCAAGTGCTCTACCATTGAGCCACAGCCCCAACCTCCCATGTAGACTTTTGAGGGCAGAATCTTCAGAGAGGTGCTTGGGATGTTGGATAGCGGCAGAACAAGGACTTTCACCGTGTGTTTCTCTCAGCTTCTCAGACTACCAAAATGGTGCTGCAGATGGTGCTGAGGATGGACAGCCCACCCAGCCCTGCTAGAAGCAATCTAGATTGGGTGCAGAGCATGGTGAGTGCACTGGGGGAGGTTCCCTTGAAGGGCTGGGTGGCAGCCACTCCCGCATCCCTAGCCTCCAGTCCTAAAATTACCAGGGAGAATTACCAAAGGGGGATAAGGGACCCCTGTGCTAGGTCAGAGCGCCATTGTAATGATGGCTTTAGAGTAGAAACCAGGATTTCTGCCCATGCACAGAAACTGATAAATTTCATTCATTTTTCATGATATATTCTTTTTGATCCTCCCCATCATTTAAAAATGCAGAAAACATTCGTAGCTTGATGACTGGACAAAAACAGGCAGTGGGCAAAATTTTACTACTGGGCTGTATTTGCCAAATTCTACCCTAAATCCTCCTCCTTTCTTGTCTTTCCTCTGTGTCCTGGCTCCAGCTCTGACCTGTCCAGAACTCTCAGCCCAGCACTGGAGCACAGGCCTTGGTCTTCACGCCGGTGTATTATAGTTGGGGTCAGAAAGAAAACTAGCACAGTGCAGAGGGAAGAGCAGGGGCTTGTGGATCAGGAAAATATGACTTCAAGTCCTGGCTCCTCACTTACTATTACCTGGGGGACTGCAAGCATTCATTTAGCCTTTCAGAACCTGTTTCTTAATCTGTAGAGTTTAATCCTAGAGTTTGTCCAATAAAACTGTGGAGAGAACTAATTGAGATCAAGTATGGAAGGGTGAGGCTTGGGGGACATACAAGTGACGTCTATTACTTGGGAACACATGCATCAGGCCTTTTCTTGCTGTTCATTTAGGTTCATCAGCTTCTCCAAACCTGCCTCCTGGGAAGGCCATTCTCCATAGCTGTGAAGGGAATTCAAAAGAAGGCCTGACTCCTCCCTGAGATTCCTCCTCCATCATGCCAGCTGGACCTGTGCTAGCAGAGGTCATCTGTCTCCATTTTGGCTTCTCTGGGCCAGTAATGCTAGGCCTACTGTGTGCTTCCTTGGTTTAACCAGAGGAAAACGGAAATCTGCCACTGTTGTAAACACATTTAAACGTGCATAGAATCAGCCATACAAATTCTGAAACATACATCTGGCTCATGGTATTATTCATTGGGTTGACGTGGTTTCAGACAATATAACAAACATCTCTTGAAAGTAGAAAGTAAGAGCCTAGCTCTCCTTTAGCTTAGTAATTTGTTCTTTTTCTTCAGTATTTTGTCCTGGGTAGTACATTACTGCCTACAAATCTGGAAATGTCCTATCTGAACCCTGTGGCCCAGGCCTCCTGCCCTACTTCTTTCTCTTCCTAGGGGTGGAAAGTGAGACAGCAGATCTTCCTCTGCAGGGATGACCTCCAAAGCATCTCCTTGTGTGCATTATTGCAAAACTCTAAGTGTGTGTGTGGGGAGGGAGGGTAAAGCCAGGATCTGTGGGGTTTGACAAGCCCACCGTTTTCCCTTCTAGACTAGCTCCTCCTCTTGTTTTCATAAATGGTTTTCTAGCCTCAGTCTCTGACCTCCAAACCTCAAGGTCGTCTTTTGCTTCTTCTCTCTGCTCCTGACCTTCTTCTCCAACTTGCCAAGTCTTTTTAGCTCTAGTTCACAACATTGTCACATCCATCCCCATTATGGTCTTCTAGCCCTGTAGTCTTCCCTGACTGGTCCTCACCCGATTATACTGCCTAAAGCAGAGCTCTGGTGTTGCCAATTCCCTGCTTAAAAGCCAGTGCTGGCTTTCTTTCATCTACAGAACAAAGGCTAAACTCCTAGGCATGCATGGCATGCAAATCCTCTACAACAGCCCTCCAGTGCACATTTCTGGCCTTATTTTCCGATAATCCTTTTCGCCCACTTCTGTGTTGCAGCCAAATGAAATGACTGACCCATTATCCCTGTCCAAGCTGTGCTCTTGGCCTTTGCTAATTTGAACATTGGTTTCTGGGTAAATGATTATAGCTTAGGAGTCTTGTTAGCACAAAGCCCATCTCTTGCTAATGGGTTTATCTAGGCTGAGTTTCTCTGACTAATTTATTTAGGAACATAATCTCAAAGAGCAGGAGTTAGGGAAAGGGGAAGTAAAGTAAGGACACAGAGAGAGCCAGATCAAAGATGTGTCACCCAGTTGGCCCCTGCCCTGGCTGACTGGTTGCTTGATTCTGTGGGATCTTCTAAGAAGCCTTTGGAAATGTCTGGGAGTCATCCGTCCAGGGACAAATCTGTCTGCCAGCTTCTATTCTCCATGGGTTACAGGTTACTCCAATGGGATGGAGATATATATATATATATATATATATCTCCAAGACATATCCAAGAATGTTCATAGCAGCTTTATTTAGAAGAGTGAAAAGACAAAAACAATCCAAATGTCCATCAATAGGAAAATGAGCAAATAAATTGGAGTATACTTATCAATAGAAAACTACCCATCAAAAAAGGATGAATTTCTGTTAAACACAACATGGGTGAGTCTCACAGACATAATATTAAGAGAAAGAGGCCTGATGCAAAAAGTATGTATGCATGATGTCGTTTATAAGAAGTCCAGAAATAGTCAGAACTCATCTATGGTGATGGACATAAGGATGATGGTTACATTTGGAGGGAGGCTATTGATTGGAAAGGACACAAGGGAGCCCGTTGGGTAAATGATTATAGCTTAGGAGTCTTGTTGGCACAAAGCCCAGTTCTTGCTAATGGGTTTATCTAGGCTGAGTTTTTCTGACTGATTTATTTAGGAACATAATCTCTAAGAGCAGGAGTTAGGGAAAATGTGCTGAAAAATGTATCTTGAGCTGAGGGTGGATTCATCAAGCTGCATACTACTTGAGATTAACCAATTTAATATAGAATATAGTAAGTTATTCTATAATAAAGGAGGGGAATGAACAAACGAACAGTGGCCTCCTTGGTGTTTTCTATTCTATAACTCAAGGAATAAGGGCGGGTATGGGAAAGAGCTGTTCTCAAGTGAGAGGATTCCCACCACCTCTCTGCACGAACCCTGCCTGGCAGAGTCTCATCTACAGGGTGTGTGCCTGCTCAACACTTGGAGCCCATGGGGACCCACCCAGATGCCGAAAATTGGTATAACAGGGTCTTGATTTAACATCTGAGCAGCCATCTTAAATGTTAATGGCCATCTTATGTGATAAGTTTCACTTCCCTGTACTTCCTTTTATCTGAACTCCGCTCACCCCCATTAGTGACCTACTCCATGGGTCATTAGTGACAACCCCTTGACTCTGGAAAGCCCCATGGTGCCACAGACCTAAACCAATCCCATGCTATTCCCACCAGCCTAGCTCTGACGCAAGTGCCCCCAAGCCTATCCCATAGCATCATAGTTACAACTCCAAACCCCTACCCCACAAAAAACTCAACACTGGGACATCTTGGGGCCTCTCACCACTCTGTAGAGGGATGGCCTTTATTTGTCAGTTTTGTCAAATAAACTTTCTTATGGATCTCTGCCTGGTCTCCGCCCTTCATTTCTCGCCCAGCCATCTCTCACTTCCTCGCTTTCCTTTCAGGTACAAAGATTATTTTAAAGTGAAAACATCTGAGATGCAGGAAGAAGTCCTATCCCACTTTCCATTATGTAACTGAATCTGAGCTGCCCCAAATACAGGGGCTGAAACAGTTTCCTGCCAATTGAGCTGCTCTGGAGACAGACTACCCATTCCATTAACATCAAAAAGCCCAATAGAACCTTCCATACTTTCTCAACAAAACCCTAAGCCCTTCTCCTTTTATTAAGTTTGATATATAACATTTATCTCTGATTATTTAATTACTCAGTACTGAGTAACTTCCAGGGGCACTTGTAAATAAACAGTCTTTTTTTTTTTTTTTTCAGTTAATTTGTAGACTCCCGGGTCCCAGCAAACCCAGAAAAAGTTGGCTGTGGCCTGTAAAGCTAGACTCTAGCTTGGTGTCTAGTATATCTGTGACCTTTGGGAGGTATTGTAGTATAGTTATGCTCATAGCTGCCTTCCAGATCTGGGATCTATAACCTTATATTTCAAGAGCATTTGATCAAGTTAACTCTTCTATTAGACACGCAGCAGGCCATACTCATCACTACAATATTCCCTGGTTTTATGGGGTAAGGCAGTTCTAAAAACCCTGAGGGGAGGGCCAGACTTAAATGGAATGGGTGGCTCCATTCTTCTAGGTTCTCAGGAGGAAAAGTTTTTAGTTATTCTCAACTCCTCTGTGTGTGTGTGTGCGCATATGCATCTGTGTGTTGCTGGGGATCAAACCTAGGGCTTCATGCATGTGAGGCAAGGAATGTGGTTCTATCATTGAACTACATTCCCAACCCCTCCTCTCTCTCTTTTTTTAAATTTATTTTTTAGTTATAGGTGGACATAATATCTTTATTTTATTTTTTATGTGGTGCTGAGGATCGAACCCAGTGCCTCATGCATGCCAGGTGAGCGCTCTACCTCTGGGCCACAACCTCAGCCCTCCTCTCTTATTTTGGCATCTCACATCAGTCTAGAAGGAAATCACGCCAGCTCAACTTTCTAAATACACTGGGAATCAGACCATTTCCCTTCACTTTCTCAGCTATCCCATCTGATGGGGGCCAGAGCCACCCCCATCTCTCTCCAGGATTAGGGCAAAAGTCTCCTAACTCCCTCTATTTACCTACCCTATTCTCAACACAGTAAATGAGGGGATCCTTCTAAAACCTGTTAGGTCCCATCATGCTGCTCAAAACTCCACAGGAGCAGATCCCACTTCATAGTTTAGATGAAAATCACTGGAGGTCACTGGATTAAAGAAAAAGTAACTTGATATTAACCAGTCATATTTTTATTGTTCTGTTTCCCTGTTCCTGTCATACAAAGAAAGTAACTTTTTTGTTTGTTTGTTTGTTTTTTGTTTGTTTATTTGTTTATTTTTTGCAGGGGTTTGGGGGGCAAGTATTTGGGAATCAGCATATATATAAAGTGTGGGGCAACAACTATTGTTCCTACCTCAGTTTGTACACAGTGAAAATGTTTCCACAGGATGCACAATGTGCCTAAACCTGGGTTAGCTTCCCCCCAGACATACCTTTTTTTTTTTTTATTGGTTGTTCAAAACATTACAAAGCTCTTGACATATCATATTTCATACATTAGATTCAAGTGGGTTATGAACTCCCATTTTTACCCCAAATACAGATTGCAGAATCACATCGGTTACACATCCACGTTTTTACATAATGCCCTATTAGTAACTGTTGTATTCTGCTACCTTTCCTATCCTCTACTATCCCCACTTCCCTCCCCTCCCATCTTCTCTCTCTACCCCATCTACTGTAATTTATTTCTCTCCTTGTTTTTTTTTCCCATTCCCCTCACAACCTCTTATATGTGATTTTGTATAACAATGAGGGTCTCCTTCCATTTCCATGCAATTTCCCTTTTCTCTCCCTTTCCCTCCCATCTCATGTCTCTGTTTAATGTTAATCTTTTCCTCCTGCTCTTCCTCCCTGCTCTGTTCTTAGTTGCTCTCATTATATCAAAGAAGACATTTGGCATTTGTTTTTTAGGGATTGGCTAGCTTCACTTAGCATAATCTGCTCTAATGCCATTCATTTCCCTGCAAATTCCATGATTTTGTCATTTTTTAGTGCTGCATAATACTCCATTGTGTATAAATGCCACATTTTTTTTATCCATTCATCTATTGAAGGGCATCTGGGTTGGTTCCACAGTCTAGCTATTGTGAATTGTGCTGCTATGAACATTGATGTGGCAGTATCCCTGTAGTACACTCTTTTCAAAGAAAGTAACTTTGAAGCAGAAGTTGCCAATTCACTTTTTTTTTTTTTTTTTGGTGGTGGTGGGGCTGGGGATGCAGTGTAGGGCCTCACCCATGGCAGGCAGATGC